GGGGAGAGAGGAAAAGAAAGGGAGAATAAATAGCATCGACAGTTCAGATATTTCCTTGTTGTATTCTTTTAATGGACAGCTAAAAAAGCAAATGAAAAGGTCTTGGTTGAAGCAAATTGCAGACGACAGCTTATGACGAATGTACGAAAGCAACAGGAAAGTTCCATTGGTCACACAATGCGGAAAGAAGCATTGGAGAATATTGTAACAACAGGCACGTTTGATGGAAAGATAGGCAGAGGCAGACAGAGGAAAAAGATACTGGACAAGTTGACAACATGTCTGGGAGCAGCAAGAACAGCAAACACCATTACTGCAACGCAATACAGATGGAATTGTAGGTCCATGGTCGCCCATGCTATTCAGCAAGGCACTGGTTGATGATGATGATTCTTTAATAAGGCATAGTTTTTATTTTTAAAATTGAAAATAAGATCAAAGGTTTAAATATATAATGCATCATATACAGGTTCTATCTAAATGTACCTGTACATTTTGGTTTACGTCAACTAAGGGGGGATCTTAGGAAAGTTGACAGAAGTTGACAAGGGCGGGGGAGGGGGGGGAGGTGGTCATTGTTGGTTAAACTTTAGCTGACGCCATTTGTGTCCCTTACGTGAATGTATGTTTTTTAAAGACTTTATGTCCCCATGTTTACTTAGGGGTATGGGTTAAATGTATCTATCAATACTATGAATTTACATAAAACGTGGGACCTCTGAATTTAGTCCCTGGTATGATCGAGCCCAATGATTTGAATGTCTTAAAAATTTCGAAGTTTTTAAAAGTCCAGTCTGAGGTTCGAACCAGAACCTTGCGATTCATAGACCAGTGTGTGTGTGTGAGAGAGAGAGAGAGAGAGAGAGAGAGAGAGAGAGAGAGAGAGAGAGAGAGAGAGAGAGAGAGAGAGAGAGAGAGAGAGAGAGAGAGAGAGAGTATATCCCCAACTATCCCCCCGCCCCTCCCAGGCCCACACGAGAACTCTTTCTCTCTCTCTCTCTCTCTATCTCTCTCTCTCTCTCTCTCTCTCTCTCTCTCTCTTTCTTTCTCTCTCTCTCTCTCACACACACACACACACACACACACACACACACACACACACACACACACACACACACACACACACACACACACATGAATTCTCTCTCACATGCACATACTTACATACAAAGTACACACACTGTGGATAAACTACTGTTAAATATTATTATTATGAATGCTGTTGAAAAAGCAACATAATATCCTTTATTGTCCCATTATTCCTCATTTCCCCCTGAATATTAACCTGTCAACCTTTTAATCGTATTTTCTAAGGATTCTATTATTATTATCATTATTAATTTTATATCACTATTATTATTATTATTATTTTTATTATTATTATTATCACTATTAACTTTCATGTTGTTATTATTATTATTGTTATTATTATTATTTTCATTGTTATGATTATTAAATCTTTATCATTATTGTTTACATTTTCCCAGAAAATGACGTCAGTACAGCATCAAGCCGCTCTAGACACCCGTGCTCCCCCGCCCTTTGTCCAAGCCGGCAACTTCGCAGCTTCCGATCTCCGCAATGTTCTGCTACCCAGAGACGCTTTCTGGCTGCTAGCTGGCAGCTTAGTGACAGACGACAGCGAGATGGGTGTGGCAGCTGTCAACGTTTTCCTGCAACGTCTTCTCTGGGAAACGAACATAGATCTTGGATTTTTTCTCGACTCTCACGGAAATGACTTTTCCCCTCGTGAGAAAAAAGAATGCGTGACTTGCAGAGTAAAGAGAATCACGATTAAGAAGTTGGAATCTGTTTCATTTCGTCTGGCTAACTGGCAATGCGATCGTATTAACACTTTCTCGCGATGTGTTCAAGAGCTGATGGTTTCCTTTTATGCGCATCTTCGCAATTTTCGGATAATCGAAACGCTGGATAGCTTTTTCAAAATGTTGAACTCTCTAAACTATGACTATCCAACTCGCTTCGCTTATGACTTCGCTAAGAAATTGTCTAGCATGAATGGAACCAAGGTACGCTACGCTGCCAGCAAAACATCGATACTTGGACGCTCTCAACAAGCCGCCGCTGCCAAACAAGCGCAGGAGACTGACGTATTCCATCCTTTCTGCAAGATCAGTAACGTTTCTTACTCTGGAGTCAACCCCACGAAGCATAAAATTGAAAACATCTTGCTTATCATTGTCTTCAACTGGGCAGAGTAAGAAGTGATGTTATAATAATTTGAGAGGCAGTGCTGTGAAATCAGGTGCTTGTCAAAATAGTGAAATAGAAGAAACTGGCATTTTTTCTGGACGTTTGGCATTTTTTATCGATTTTTTTTGGTAGTTACTAAGGACTCTCACACTTTGGACATCTCCAAACATTGGAGGCCATTTTCTCGCTAATTTTACCTCTGAAAACAGGAGACCCCCACCTCCTTCAATGGCAAATTCTCACCGTCTATTAAGGGAAGATGAATATTTGTTTAACCGAAAGCAAGACAAACAAACAAGCCTTAAAATGATACCAATAAACCCCCATGTCCAAAAAGTGACGAGCATCTGATTCCCCTGCGTGATGACACATACAATATGTTAAAAAAAGTTTATTTCCATCAACCAGTTTACTACCTTTATGCAACTAAAATGTTCGTACTGCAAACTTCAATGAGGAGTTTCGAGCAGGGCATACAATAACACTACCACTAACTGTATGATCCCCACCGCCCACCAAAATGACCAAATCGTGCAGTAGTGAGGTTGGCAAGTACTGATTTTAGGCATACTGTCAAACAGATAAAAGAATGTATTTACATCTTTTTGCTCTGCTGTCTCTCTTGCTACAGCAATAAACAATCTTTGCTACCTCGTAGTTCAGAATATCAGTACTTATAATAATATCACTGCTCTTGTGGTATGTTTGATTAGAAATATATACTACATCTATATATTATATTGTATTATATAACACAAAACAATTGTATTTTTTTTTCTTTTTAAAAAACTCTTAAGCTTACTTTTTCATCCTCTGTTGCCGTTAAGCAGCTTTCTACAGTAGCAGCTCTGTTGCTCTATCAATTGGGATATTATACTTTCTCACATAATAACATAGTAATACTAATACTGTTCCAGCTACGTGAAAGATATCCCGTTCATACAACGAGCGTACGGACGCCACTTCCGCTACATTGCGTACTGCAGTGAGGTTATCAATGACTTCAGTCGGTTCTACAACGAGACGGCGAACCCCATCACTTACATAGAGATCAACCATTTCAGAGGTCACAGGTAGGCCAAATGGTTCAAAATTGCAGGGGTAGTCTATCGTAGGCTGTTTTAGTGTCTACGAGTATGTGTCTAAGTGTCCTTGTGAGTGTGTGTGTGTGTGTGTGTGTGTGTGTGTGTATGTGT